ATCGCTTCTAGGTTGGAGGCCATCGCTTCTAGGTTAGAAGTAGAATTCTCCGCTGCACTGCCAACGGCCTCGCCCAGGCGAGCAGCGACTCGGAGCGCGAGGCGAAGCCACGGGCGCCGCTGGCCAACGCAGCGGTCAGGCGCCTGCTTTCGCCGGTGGGTTCGTTGATGGTCGTTTGGGGTTGGCTTTCAGAGGTCTGGAGACTGACAACATTACGGTACGGTATATATGAGAAACATATACGTAGTAGATTTATATATCCATTCCAACACTAGAGTTGGGCAGGCAGAAAAGATGATCAGGGGTTGCTTCAATGATCCTGTGCGTACTTGTTTGATTGATGGGCAATGGGCAACTCTAAAACTTTGCAGAGATCGACAAGCAGGGAAGGCGGCTTGGATCTTGGTATGTGCTATATTATATGCTTGTCATGCCACTTGTCGCGGTGGTTCAACGTAAAACCAGACCCTGACTTTAAGCATCAGGATTGACCTTCTTGGTCAATTTGGTCAATCTGGATGGACATCATTCAAGACGGACAACTTACCTCAACAGTCCCCTTTGGGTTGGACGTCTGGGTTTCTCCTCACGAGAGGACACGAAGGCAAGATGGAAACTGATTTGACATCAGCATCAGGTTGAAACACTCGCTTTTTGGTATTGGAGCGCTATACGAGCACTGTATTTTCGACGCTCTTCAGAAACATCCAATCCCTGCGAGGCGTTTGGTTGCCCAGAGGAATAACAATCACAAGGCGGGAGCGAAACGGAACGAACAAGGCCATGGATCGCCACACCACGGCCAGCGAAACAAAGCAATCGTCACACCGGGATGGATCAAAGTCATGGGGCACGCGGGGAGCAACCTCATCTTCCCGGATGGAGCTGCACTTCAAGGCATGGCGCGGCATGTTTTGGGCCGCGTCTGAAGCTTTCTGGAGGTCAAACTCCTGGCTGATGACCAATCTCTTCAGTGGCCCAATCCCCCCACTTTCCCTCCCAAACAAGGTGCTGCAGCGCTTGAATGCGGAGATTCTGGGACATCAGCGGAATGTGCCTCGGCTCGATCGACCACATGACGACACGGCTTGTGGCTTCACAAGTCTACTGAGCTTGTGGCTTCACCAGTTCCTGCCTTGTGAGCGGATCGGACATGGAGAAGTTTCATGATGTCTTCGATGTTTGGAGACTTAGGGTTTTGGATGGCAGGACATGGAACTCTCTGTTACACTGACCTGTGCGCAGCCGTTTGGGGCCGATCGGTTCCCGGGGCAGTGGCCAGGCACGTTGGGGTTCCGTGGGTGTGAAGCGCTTGAAAGCACAAACCTTGAAATGATTCCTCATCAACATCAGCCAATTAGGAGCCAATAACCAAAGGTAATTCTCATTATATAACACCGTGCGTGTGCAACCACAACCACCTTGATGTATTGTTTTGACCCCAGAGCTTTACACCTGTGAGATGCTTCAACTTTCCTCTTCACATGCGTCCAACCTGTGACTTTGTTCTTTGGCACTGGACTTGCGGACCAAAAATAATTGACGACCGGAAGGCCGATGTTGAGTGAGAGCAATGCCCTCATCGAAGATGCCGCGACCGAGAGGACCGAGAATCCGATGGATTGTCATCCTCTCAAGGGAGATTCTGATATTTGTGCAATTGCTAGTTTGGTGGCTTCTTAAGAATACTGTAGCATGTGCATGTGCCCTTGCCTAGCAGTCTCACCAATCTTCAGTCTGACGGTGGCCATTGTCTTTCTGCAAAGAAGAACCATTCACCTCGCATCTGTGGAAAGATCCTTCCAAACCCTTCGTTCCCGATTTTGCCATGCGACCTCCCAGGAGTCCTCCCAACATTTTTGGCGTTCGCAACTCTCGAAGCACGGGCCTGATTTGCGCCGTTGTCCTGATCATCGGCTTGATCTCCCTGGTGCTAAGAGAGAGGCGAGGCGCGAAAGACCCGCCGATCGACTCGATGATTTCGACGCCTCGCTCCGCCTTGCGAGGCGTCTAAGAGGGACAGCCTTCCTCGCCAAGAACTTGATGGAAGGCACTGGCATGGGGAGATGTCTTGACCATGGAGGGTGCCCTTGTGCAATGCAAGACATGGGCGCCCTCTTGATCTTCGGTGGGATGAGCGACGTTGCAAGGTCCCAAGTGTCCATTTTCAGGGAATTGTCCAAGTACATACGGTATCATGGGAGGTTTCTGGCTTCAGCTGTGACTGCAGACTTGTTGGTGAATGAGTAGCTGTGGCTTCAGCTCATGTTCCATAATCCGCTTTGGCATGCCAGGCTTTGACAATGATTGCTACCAAGTGGGCATGTACTACGCGGACCCAGCGTCCCGTCAGCAAGACTTCCGCCTTAAACCACTGAACAACGTGTGGTCCGTCCAGAGAGCTGGGGTGAACCTCCACCATTGTGACCATCGTGGCATTTGGAGACCAACTCTGCCAGAGTGGGATTTGGAACATCCCCGTGTTGTCGAAAGGCATTCCGAAAGTGGGATGAAGTCGGATGAAGCCAATAGGCCCAGGCCACCAATTTCCCAATCATCGCCACTCGCGGGCACGCTGAAGTCCGCTAGACTGAACCCAGTAATTTCTGTAACTGGAGAAATCGTCCTTCATTTTGTTGGGAGAACACATTCACGGTCGCTCCGAGGTCCGATTGCCCAACCTCTTTCGATCGCTGCAGCCGGATGCAGAAGCTTGCCAGGTGGTGTGAAGGAAACAAACCCATTTGGTCAGCTGAGTCAAGGTGCTGTTGCTTTTTCTGTTGAATTGATGTAGACGAACGTAGATGTCGCAATTTCAAATGAATCCATAGCCGGAAGCGTCCCATTTCGCTGGATGCCTTCGCAGGGAGAGTGTGCGATCAGCATAGGACTCTTGGCAGATTGGGAATGAGGAGTCATTCTTGCAGTTCATTGTGTGTGCCGATTTGCAGAATACCCTTGATGGGGAAATTAAGCCAAGCCTACCAAACAGTAGTGGGTATTTCATATCATATCCAATCATATCCAAGGTGGTCCAGGCTTGCTTGATTTAACATTGGGGGATCATTTTTTGGAACTCTGCCAGATCAGAAAGGGAACATTGGCAAAACATCATTTTTGCATAACAGCGACAAAGGAAGACAGTTCTTTGTCGTGAAGGTAGCCGGGCACCCAACCAAGCACTCCAAGTTTCAGGGCATTAGTCTGTCCGAAGTGAAAGGGTGCCTCTGGTAAAGTGAAAGGTCATCTTCCAAACTTCTCTGCGGCTTGCTAGATTGCTTGCAGGGGGTGGTCTCTTTAGAGCTTCTTACGTCGCCCATCAGCCCATCGCTGCCCGCTTCCGTTGGGCGTTTCGGGTCCCGCCAGATCTGGGTGTCAAACATCCCCGCACCCCCAATCGAGTAAAACAAATTCAAGGTCATCAATCGTTTTCATGGATGTTTATTTAGGTTTGGACCCACCTAGGACCTAGTGGATGTTAGGATCAAAAGTTCCTTCCTTTTTTGTACGATGGGTTTGATGTGATCCAGGTGCGACCCCAAGGTGCTGCACCCAATAGCTTCTCAATAGGTTTGGACGATTGTGCCCATCCAACAACAAGGCTGCACGCACTTTACCTATTGGCCCGACGGCGGCTGCCTTTTGACGGGGCCCAGCTCCACTTTGAAGGACCGAGTGTTCGTGCGACTGACCGAGCGGACCGTGTGTTTAACCACATGAATAGTCCGAGCGCTTCTTCAAGGAAGCTCCCCGCCGCCTTTAGGGTGGTGGGGGGAGCTTCCTTATCCTACGCCCAGTTACTAGAAGAGTCCTAATGAATAGCTACAAGAGCTACCTCTCTTTAGCGGCCAACCCCCCCCCCGGGTCACTAACAATAAAACTGAAAGAATATGTGAAACATTTAAAAACACAGTTTTTATCGCTTTTGCAGGGTGACATGACACCTTTCGAGCCCCAAGGGAGCCCGCCTTTGGGGCAACATTGACATGGGTTCTTGGATGATTCAACCATTTCCGGTGTGGGCCGATCTATACATTTTTTTTAAATGTAGATTAAGGAGACACCTGTTGTTCCGCATGAGTTAAACAATCATGTAGAATAATGTAACGTTCTTGCTTGAACATGTAGGATACATTGGTTAAATACAGTAGAGATTTGCAGCAACGTCAATCTTTCGAAGGCCATGAGTTGGTTCACACATTTTTTAGACTAGACGCTTGTAGGGAAAGACGTGAGTCTGGACAAATGCTCTTTTGCTTCTAATCCATCACATTGATGGAGACTACATGGTTCCGCTGTTGTATGGGCGATACCATCATAGCCCGATTTTCGTACACCTACATGTGAATGAACTCGTTGTGAACATGTGGTGAACTCCTCTGCGGAAGCCTCGCACACTATCAGCATCGCACGGAGGCTGCTCCAGAGCCCTACACCCGCACGATTACCGGTCCAAGGGAATGTCCGGAGGCTGGTCTGGCGAGTTGAAAGCTAGATACTTGTGGAATTGGAGGTTTCCCGTAAAATGGGTTTGTTTGAGGTCTGGATCCGCTGTGGCAAGTCAATTTACAATAAGCTAACCAAATCATCATCCAACCCTGGTGCATTTGTAAGGGTTCGTTGAACGTGAAATTGCCGGTGTCCATGGTTTCGCAACTTGTAACTGTTGAGACCAATCCTTGATTCGCTTCATGATTGCGTGCGATGAGCTCAGAGCAAAAGCGAGTCAGCCTCCTTTCATTTGTCACATGCTACGATTTGATCGGCCATGACCTCCCACAAATCTGCACCCCCTCTGAAGACAAAAGTAGCCAGGGTGCAGACAGATGAACAACTCCTCTCCCAGTTGCATCCAGTGGCCCAATTGATACTCTTTCGGCCCGAATCATAGATCTTGCTACCCCGAGCCACAGCTCCGGTTTTCATCACCTCTCATCCAGCCCTTCTGAAACCCCGACGTGAAGCCAACTTACAGTAGATCATAGATCCGGGATGGAGCCATGAGCCGGCGGGGCACGGTGAAGTTCTACAACTCCGTGGATGGCTATGGCTTCATCCGGAGCGGCAGTCAAAGCCGACCCGGAGCGCCGGAGGTGGGGCTTGGTGGGGGGGGAGATGGGAACCGAACAGGTGTACCAGACCAGATCCAGATGCCAGAGAGGATCTTTACTGCAGCGTTGTCTTTCCGCTTTTTTGCTTAAGCTTAAGAACAGCAGGGGAAGCAGGTCTGGGGCGGTTTCGCAGAGGCTTCCAATTGATGCTTCGGACAGTATTGAGCCTGTGGTCAAGAATAGGTGAAGTCGTCCATTTTTGCTCATAAACTTTGTGGTTTCTGGCACCTCCCCTCGTTTCGGTTTGCATCCATAGACCAGCCAATCCCATCGCAGGTCTACGTGCACCGGTCGGCGATTGCCGATGGGCAAATGCTGGTACGAGGGGACCAGGTCTGCTTCGATGTGCCTGGGTTGGCCATTTCAGATGCCAAAAGAAATCACGATCCCCATCTGGCCACCCCGGGGGGGCGAGGATGAAGAGATCATTGAGACTGTGCCAGATGGAGTCCCTCACCAGGTTTTTGTGAACTTGCATACCCTGTGCTTCGGACGTTGAAGAACAAGTTTGGCTTGCTTCTTTAATCTATTGTTGCAGCTCCTAACTAGAGTCTATGTTCAAAACCTTTTTCAGCTTGTGGCAAGTGCAGCAAGCCGACTCTGAACTCACAGTGGTGCCTCTCGAACCAGGTCGTTACGAAGACAAAAGAAAGACCCCCGAAAGCAGCATCTAAGTGACTACGCTGCCTCATCCTCATCCTCACCCCGTACAGCGATCTGAACATGTGGGCGCTGAACATCTCCAGCGCCGCAGAGGTCATCGAAGAGGAGGGACGCCTGAACGCCTTGCGCGTCACGGGTGGCTCTGGCGGGTATGGCCTCACGCACGGCTGCAAGGTGGATAGAAGCACGGTGAAGGACCTGTGCCTCGGCAATCTGAAGAGCTGGGGTGGTGACGTTGCGAAGCAAGGGTTAAGCTCTTGGACGCTTGATCTTAAAGGTGGATGACTTTGGTCTTCTTGATCAATTATCCTTCACAAGGTGCCAAGAAAATCCAAGAAACAATAACGCATGAGTTCTTCTTTGTAGGGGACTTTGCTCGGGGTCTTGGTGGTAGTGGTCGACAGGCAGCACACCTGTGTTTCATTCCTGCGTCCTGTGCAAGGCAGGCAGGGTGTGTTTGTACAATCGAGAGCCTCTTTACTATAGCTGGCGGCGAAGATGTATACTAAATCAGAATGTCACAGACTCGTAACGCGTTTGGAGCCCACCAAAACGCTTGATAGGAAAAGCTGTCCATGTCGTCATGTCGTTCTTCAGTTGATAAGCTTGTCTCCCTAAACACCGTCCGAGGCGGGGGACGATCAAGAAGTTCTTCCCCGAGAAGGCGGGGACGATCGATGTGGAACTGGATGAGCAGATGGCTCCGAATGGCCAACTGGATCTGTTTTCCCGCTACGAACGGAGCAAGGACGCTACTAGGGGCTCCTGGTCGTACTACTAGGGGCAAGGACGCTACTAGGAGCCTTTAAAGGGAACATTACTCATCGTTTGGGCGAACCAATGGCAGGTCCTATGGTTGATTTGCGCAAGTTGATGGTCAGGATCATGTACTGCTTCATGAACCCGGCGGATGGCGCAGATGATTCACTTCCTGGCCCTGTACTAGTGGAGGCCATCGCTGCTAGTAACAAATGGCATCGCTACTAGTAGCTCCTGGCCTTACTACTAGTAGCAAGAAGCTACTAGGAACAAAGGGCATCGCTACAGCAAGGACGCTATTAGGTTGGAGGCCATTGCTAGGAATTCCTCTTTCTTGGGTCTCTCCTTGACCAGATACTAGCAGGTAAACCTCATCACGTCACACAAATCATCCACTCAGTGAATAGGATCACCCAACCGATTTCGTCCACCACTGACCCGCTCCTTCGCGACTTCTTCGCCGTGCCAGGGCTGGGGGTTCATCATCCAAGAGCAAGGTGGGCCGAACCTCTTCTTCCACAGCAATCAGCTGGATGACGGTTCCGTGACCTGAGGGTTTCTGTTTTCGTTCCGAGACCTGAGCCGCTGTGGGAGGGTTTCATCCTGGCAATCATCTCCAGAGGGTTCAACTGAACAAGACCGAGCGCAAGAGAGCAAGACTGTCTCTACAATCCCCTACCAGGCCCCACCAGCCAGCTTTGGGGCGTTCGTTTCTGGGAAAGACTCTCAGACTTGTGGGACACATCATGTAAGACCTTTGAATGCTTGGAGGGACCACAGAAGCAACAACTGTTGATTTGTTAAAACATTTTAACTGTTTTGTTTTGTTTTTGTTTTTGTTCGGTCTAGGTTGAGTGGACACCATCAATCAGTTGGACCATTGTCCATTGAGCCAAATCAGTTGGACCATCGCAGACGCTAGACATCAAGATCCACCGTGCTTTGCTGGGTGTGGAAGAAGTTACTCACGGCACCACCTGGGATGGAGAATGGTTCAACAAGACGTCTCCGCCCGAAGAATGAGGTTCGGTTTGGGACTGGGACAGACAGTCGCATGAAGGACATCCATGATTCATTGAGTGCCTAGACGATGTTCATGAGACTCAGGTGGGCACAGTGCAATCTGGTGACTCAGCCTGTGGCACTGAAAACACTTCTGAAAACTGGACCCTTCACAGCAGACTGTGCGTGAGTCTTCCAGGGCGTCCGTTCGTTCGCTTCTCGTTTCCTTCCTCAGGTGAAGGCCCTTTACCCGTGGGCAGCCAAGTGCGCTATGAGAGCATCTGGGACGAGAAGCGCGGCAGCCGCAAGGCTCAGAAGGTCGCGCGAGTGAAGGACGAGGACGAGATGGAAGTGATCCAACCCCATACTTTGCGCCAGGTAATTTGTGAGGATGGTGAAGAATGGGAACTTGTGACCTGAGCTTTTGGTTCCTGCGAAGTCCCAAGAAAGGCCCGGAACATGAGCTCTTGGATTTGGACTCCGCAACCATCCTCACAGCTTTCGGTGTCTCACTAGAGCTTGGCCCTCGAGTAAAGAAACTCCCTGCTTTGCCACATGTCGGGAACATCCGCTTCCCCTCGCAGTCAAAGTCAACCATTCTAGCTGTGCTGGTGGTAGCGCAGCGCCGGTCCAGATGTACAGTGTGCAGAGCCGGAGAAAAGATGGGACTGGGTTGCAGGGGATGGGCGAGCAAAAGGTTCAAACAAAACAACTGTTGAAATCGAACAAAGAAAACAAGTAACTAGTGGCTGGCCGTGCAGGGAAACTTATTTGTCTAGTGTTCCCGACCCTATGTCCGCTTCTTTGTATTTTTGAAGCGAGAGCAACTCACTTGCGACCTCGGCTCCCTTCCAAAGCGCCAGCGGATCGATGAACCGCTGTGAGTTTCGGACTGGAACCACCATGAACCGGACGGCTCCCAACCGACGCACGGCCACCGCCAGGTCGCGCCCGTCCACCAGGGGTCGCTTAAGGCGCCCAGGCAGGTGGACTACAGCATCGACGTGGCCTGGCGACACCGGCAACGGGCGTGTTTTCGGGAACAGCATCCTGCAAACCGAAAAGCTGCAAACATCCCATGTGTTGGTGGGTCTCCCCAATGTTATGTTTAGAGACAATGACAAGTAATACACACCAATGAACAGAATCTGCATCCCCACCATATACTGTCGTTTTATTTTCGTTTTTCCGAGCAGAGATTAGGTTAAGGCGCCCGCAGAGGGCTCCCAAGATGTGTGAGTAGGCGAGGAGAAGCTTGATAGGAGCTAAGTTATTTGGCCATGGGCCATGGGCAAGTCGAGTTGAGCTACTTTGTTTGGGACCCGAGGAGATTGGAGCATGACATATCATATCCAAGCTGCTGTTGGATCTAGCTTCTTGAAATGCAGTATACAGACTACAGGTGTGGAGATGCAAATGCCATGGAACATGTGGGAGCATAGTGTGTGTGGCAATTGCCTGGATGCCAGCTGTCAGCAATGTCTCTACACTAAACCTTAGATTGCCCCCTGTAGCACACTCACAAGGCCAGCGCAATGGGATGAGTCAGCCAATCTCAGAGCTCATGCCTCTGGGGCATGTACAGGTGCAGACCTCGCAAAACGAGCACTTTTGCATCGAGCCCAGGCAAAGAAAGCCTTCGGTACTCGCAAATGCCCTCAGTGGCACTGTGGGCTCTGTCTTGGCAGAAGCTGTTCTTTTCCCTGTGGACACTATCAAGCTCAAGGTCCAAACGGCCAGTGCCACTGATCATCGAGGCTTCTTACTGACGCTTTTTTCCGTGCTGGGTAGTGTTGGCATCAAGGGACTCTACCGTGGGATCGGAGCAGCCCTCATTAAAGAGTCCATACACAGCTTGAACTACTGGATCTTCCACGGCAGCCTCTTCCGACTCTTTACGGAGTTTGAAGATACTTCAGCCACATCTCCAATGAGGAGGCTCTTATTGAACCTCGTTTCCAAGCAACTCAACTGGCTCTGCACAGTTCCCTTCGAAGTGGTCTCCAGTGTAAATCAGATGTCAGCAAAGGCACCTGGCTTTGTGGCCACTGCCCGTGTTTTGTATCTCGAGGGTGGCATCAAAGCTTTTTACCGGGGCCTCACGGTGTCTTTGATCCTGGCCATCAACCCAGCGATTATGAACACCTTGATCACCTCCATGCTCCGCATCAGGGCCTTGCTGCGGGAATCCATGGGCGAGGACCATTTGGAGGCCCGGAATCATTCGGCTGCCGTGGTGGGCGGCATCACGGGGCTGTCGAAGATCGTGGCGACCATCTTGACATACCCGTTGATTCGCGCCAAGGTCTTACAGCAAACCGTTCCTCAACATTCCCAGGCGGCATTTCCAGAGGTGATGCGGAGGGTGCTGATCTCTGAGGGTGTGAGTGGCTTGTACCGAGGAATGCTGGCCATGAGCTATAAGACTATCCTGTGGAACACTCTGATGATGATGTTCAAACATCTACTGGGTCCCAAGCGTCCGATGACACCACCAGACTCGCCTCGACCTGGACTGCTTCAGCAGGTGCCGCATATGGCCAGGGAGCCCTTCCCGGCGGAATACACCCAGGAGAAGCTAGATGAGATTCTGGACTACCTGCGTCGTGGGGGCAGCAGCGGAAAGAAGGTTGAGGTGGGGTTCCCATAGGGAACGGGGCTGATAGTCGCTTCTCACACAAACTCTAGACTCTAGAAAGTGTTTGGCAGATTAAGGATGTATTCCTTGATTTGCTTGGGCAATTCTTTTTGGCCGTGTTGCAAATCTTTTATTTTTTTGCACGTGTCCGATCCACAAAGCTCCTCGTTATACCTCGTGAGGCCCTGGAGAACCGCTTGGAGGAGGTGAGCGGCGAATTGCGCGAAGTGCGCAAGCTCCTGTCCCAGCTGGTCGCACGGTCTGGCGACGTCCAGTCCCTGCAGTCCGGCTTTTCGTTTGTGCCATCCGGCGTGGCCGGACGCGAGGCACGAACTCCTGGACCTCAAAAAGAGCCTGCGAAAAAATACGCAAACCAAAAACATGATCCAAAGCAACCCAATAGCGAAGAAGCGATGGCCTCCAACCTAATAGCGATGGCCTCCAACCTAATAGCGATGGCCTCCACCTGCGAAGTCTAGTGCTAGTCCCTTGATATTCTCTGCATCAGACATGACACTTCGTGACATTTCTTTCTTCAGCTGATAGACAATATAGCTGATAAACATAGAAAGCTGCGCGCAGAATTGATACTCCGTGGCACCCTCTGTGCTTCCCACGCATGGTACACGCTCTGCCACTAAGGGCGCGCCTGTGCCGGTTCCGGTGAGGGGCCCCAAACAGAAAGGCGTGCGTCATTTTGATCTGGGAAGACTTGATGCAGCCCCGCCCCCCTACTATGGCTGTTTGGGTCCAAGCTTTGGGGGCCTCTCAGCTGTTTTTCATTTTATCACTCATGTGGATTCGATTTGAAGGCTATGGGCTATGACTGGGGAGCACAGCAACTTTGATCCAGAAAAGGCTCACCCTGGGGGCACTTCAGGATCGTGCCTTGTTTTCCCACAGCCCATATCTCCCCGAAAGGTTAGTCGAGGACTAAACCACGGCGAACGCAATTCCTGCCACAGGTTTTAAAGTCTGGTGTTGGACTTGTGAGGATCACTATATACTATATACACATAAATATTGCATATAGATATAGACCGTATACCCGCCCCCTTTGCTGGGCTGATGTGCCTCGACCGTCCAGGTCAGTGTCAAGCCCTGGCCACCACCGCAGGCTGGGCGGAGAGTCGGAGTATATAGACCTCTTGGTGAAAAGCAAAGCAAAGAATTTCCATGAGATGGAGGGTCTCTGTGAGAGCTCAAAACAACCCACTTCTGATTCTCACTTAAAGCTATGGTCTCGAGAAAACCTCTCATGAGGTATTCAACAAATAAATCCACACCAAACACGAATCCTTGGAGAATCGTCATGGTTTAAAGTTTAAAGCTTAGAGTTGTTCCTATGAAGCACCATACCTTCACTGAGTCTCAGGCGGAGCATCGGAACAGTAGCTGCCACGCCTTCCAGACCTGTGCGCAGGAGCGACGGTGGTGCTCTGTTCTCGAACAGGGTATCCCTTTGTTCCTAGTAGCGTCCTTGCTCCTAGTAGCGATGCCCTTTGTTACTTAATATATAATTACTCTGCCCAATAGGCCATTTGCAGTTTGGGGTCTGCATGGTGCTGAGGTGATTGGTTGGAAGATCTGTTTGACGGTGCTCAAGCCAAGGTTCCCTGATTATTCGGAGTAGCGCTCATTTCCTTCCTTGCACAGAGAGCTTCCTCCAAGAGCAGTGATTCCACGGTGGAGTTGGCACAGCCTCCGGACGTCTTGGAGGGTTGAAAGGGTTTCTGCATCGTGGGGCCTGCGCGGCAGGAGCGCCTTGTGGGTGAGTGCTGCCCCAACGCGGCGACTTGGCTGAAATCCGAGCAAAGTCTATGTGGGAAGTCACTGGAGAGACACTAATAGCTTCTTGTTACTACTAGCAAGGCACTTGTTACTAGTAGCGATGCACTTGTTACTACTAGCGTGGCACTTGTTACTACCTCTTCATGTCTTTTTTCGGTGGGAAATCGCTCTGCTTTGCTCTGTTCAGCAGATGGCCCGGTTTGAACCCGTGGTTGAGGAGATAGCTTGGTTTATGGGAGCCCACACCAAACCTGCCGAGCTCGTGAACGCCGAGAGACTTTGATTTACCGTTGGTTGGGGTGGGGCGCCACACTCTGACCGATGAATCTGAGCCCTGAGCCCTTCTGCCGAAAGCACCAACCCGTCAACGGGCAGGAAGGAGTGATGCTCAGTTGTTGCACAGCTTCGCCCCGGGTCGAGGCACCGAAAGCAGGGGACGCTCGGAGTTGAAACCCCGGGGCACGAGGTGCATGGCAGAACATATGAATTTACGCAGAACATATGAAGTTTTGACCCAGAATCCAGACTCTGTGCTTTTCTTGAGCATGTGTTTGGACGGATGGAAGGCTGCGTGAGAGTACGATGCAGTTGCCTTCGAAAGGTGACCCTGTTGCGAACTCCAGACTTGTTGTTTCAGTTCTCCGTTTCAGTTTGCGCCTCTACTGCCCGCCAAAGACAAGGTCGTTTGTTTCCTGGACACCTGCGGGTCGAACACGTCTGTGAACCTCATAGCGATGGCCCCCAACCTCCTAGCGATGGCCAGCGATTGATGGCCTCCAACCTAAGAGCGATGGCCTCCAACCTCATAGCGATGG